GGTGGAACGGGGAAAAAGAAATACTCAACTCGAACATCATTTGCAGCAATAAAAGAAGTCAGAATACTCGACAGACGCAGCGGGGCAACGGCAATGCGTCAAATGTATTGAGGCGTGGTCGGGATGAGGGGGCGTGGCGAACGAACTCGCTCACTACGACATTATCATAATTAATTAAAAAAGTTTTTTAAAGCAATTTCCAAATGCCAAGAAGTGTCTGCAGGGATGTTTGATGAACCGTGGCCAAAGAGAGCAGCTGAAAAAATTGATAACTTTGGCTTGTCATGGACAAGGACGAGAGCCAAAGACTTGGGGAAAATTCCAAAGCATGAAATGACTCCCAGCTTGATCCACTCAGAAATATTCTGGTTATTCCTTGATTAGTATTTGCATCGGGTCACAATGTCGGCACTGCCAGGACTTTTATCAAAATGAAATCAAAGGCATTTCGCCAGATGCATTTCAAGATTATTTTTGCATTCGGTTTTCATTTTAAAAAGATATTTGGGGTCCAACTTCATTAACAAAGCACTGAAGATGTGGTAGAATATTAGAGAATTTGATTTGTAACAGTAGTTTCCTATTATTAATAAAAATATACAAATAAATATTAGTATTCATCAAACTAATTTTGAACGCGAGGAGTTAAAAGTTTCCGTAATTTATGATGGCCTCTATATGGGTAATACAATATTGGTAAACCATGTTAAGTACATAATGCCAATGCTTATCTGTAAATGTAAAGTTTCTCGCTCATATCGATTATCTGCCTCCAGGAATTAATGGCAGCAAACGATTTCATATCAGCAACGGGAGTCTGGCTTACCATTAAAGAAATTGAAAGTACACCATCAAACTCAACTCGATGGTACTAGTTGCTAGGAGAGCTGGCAAATCAAAAAGCCAGCTATAGTGCAATGCATTTTAATTTAGCCCGCAACTCACACAAAACCAAAGGGAAGTACACCCAGGCTAACACACAAAAACACACACACACACACATATGTATGCAGGTGAAACACGCGCGGAGGCAGTACATAAATAAATACTTGAACAAATATTTACAACTCTGGCGCGGAATTATAAGCAGCGCCCGAAAGTATGCACTACAAAAATGAATCAAGGCTCGTGTGTGTGCGTGTGTGTGATCCAGCTCACACCTGTTTGCACGCGTGCGTCTGTGTATGTGTGTGTATATATGTGTTTGTGTGAGTGAGTGCAAGTGCGCATAAAACGCGCCGCAGCAGAAGTGAGCAGCATTTTTATTTATTTGCCGCGGTGTAGTTTTTATTTTTCTTTGCCCATTCCCCACATTTTGTTTTCCTGCCAAATATGTGAGTCTCAAATTCTACCACAGAAAAAAACATAATATGCCAAAAGTTTCAGTTCTTAGGGTGCCTGTAAAAATGCAATAAAAGGAAATTCTACTACTGATTTAACCATACACCAACTCAAAAAATATCATTGATGTCCCAGCAACGATTTTATATTTCTAGCGACTTTACGTACCCTTTGTGATAAGATTATTATTTTTAGATAAATAAGTCTTAGTAAAATTATAAATTCTCCGTCACTAATAAAAGTACTGTTACTAAATCCGTCACTTTTAATATCTGTAAATTTTACAATTGAGCAAACCGAACTAGTTCTCATCTCCTTAAGATTTCCGGTAAAAAAATATATCGCCTTACAGATTAGTGTAACAACGGCCAATTAACTGGAATTAAAAAAAAAGTTAAAATAGTATTTTATGATTGTAAAAGGGATTAAGGGTTATGTAATTTCTTAAAGGTAATGGCAGGTGTCTGGAAATGATAAGTTATGTTAAAAAGTTTTTTAATATTTAAACCCACATTTTCATATAACAGCTATTATTATTAACAAATATTAAAGTTTATTAAATCATATTCAAATATTGGAGTGATGTTGACTCCCAGTGCACTGCAGTGTAAACTGCAGCTACAGCTGCATACACAGACATATATGGCAGATAAGGTTTGCAGAGTGCAGGCTTGTTTGGCAAAGCGCCTGTTTAACACTTAAGATATCGTATTTCTTGGACTTGCATGTCTGCAGATGTGTTTGTATGCCACAAAGGAGCAGGAGGTGGCAAAAGATAAATATGCATGCGGTTAGTTTATAAGGTGAGTGTGTGTGTGTGTTAGCCATTTCAACAGACGCGCCTCCTTTTTGCGCCGCCTTTCGCGCATTTGCATGCAATAAAGATGGCGGGGCGATAACTAGGTTGCCTGCCATTGTTTGCCTTTTCCCCATATTTCTCTTTGGGCATATATACGTATATATGTGTGCGTTAGCCGCAATAGTTGGCCGCCAAAAGCAGCAGCAGACAACCAAGCAGCCACTAAAATAAAAGGCAAAGTCCGCCAACTAGCGTATCCTGCCACTGCCACCGCTTCTTCTTCTTCTTCTTCAGCTGCTGCCATGCATTATGCAGATGTACACCAGGTTCATGAATATATATGCGAGTACTTTGTTTACCCACACATGCACACAGCAGCAGACACTGTACTAAACAGAAAATAATGTATTTAAATAATCGTTTGCTAAGAAATACCAATATATGTATATTTTTAAAAACTTTTTTAATAGTGAAAGACAGACCTTTCCCAATTAGATTTTTCTTACACAAAATAGCTTCCTAATTAAAATAGAAAAAACAAACTCAACATATATTATAGGAAACATTAAAGCCGAAAGAAAATATATAACATATTTATAAAGAAAAACATTGTTTAATATGCAAACATTTCAGTATTTTTCATCAGTGTACAGCTCTATGAACTCGCTATTGTGCGAAAAAAAAAGAAGGCACACACAACTAACTGACAAAATGCCATATGTTTGTGCGCGATAAGCGGCAGGACCCCCATCGCCCGCCAAATCCACTTCCCGGCGACCCCATTTCAACAGCTCAGGACCTGTAATTATAATTTAACACCGCATCAAATCAAACGGGCTAGGCAATAAGAGCGAAACACGGGCAAATCGATGTCCAGGCCTTCTTAACACGCACATTTTCCGAACCAAAACGCCCCCACCCGAATCGCTCAACCAGCTCAAAGCACTTGGTTGGATGGCTGAGTAAATCAAAAATGTGCAATAAAAATTGCAATAAAGCAGGCTTCAGAGGTAGCTGTTGTCGAATGGGGGCGAAGGGTGTATCGGGGAATTGGATGGCTGCAAAACCTCATCTAAGCAACGATAATGATTGCAATTCATTTTTATGACCACCAACTAACCGTTTCCGGGTATTACGATTCTCAAACCCAATTTGCCGGCACGCATATAACAAAATTCAATTAAAGGCTGAGATTTACAGCGAACGGGAGCGTAATGAAAGCTTTTTATGCTAAACGGGTCATTTCAAATCAGAAGTAATGTGCCGTTTTAGATTTATGAATATTTGCATTCAATGTGTGTTTCATTAAACATATTTAAATTACCATAGACGAGCGCATTTTGGTTTTATGATGTCACATTATATAATATATATTGTAGAACTGATTTTAATTCCAACTTATTTCATTATTTAATAAAAGCTTTGACAGTAATAATAACAAACTGAACAAATGTCAAAATTATGATATACAACTTTTTAATGTTTAAATTGTTGTCTTAAAGTTCAAAGAAAAATAAACAAAAGTACTTACAAAACAAATTTGTATTAACATTTAGTCAGCATGGTATTATAGGTAAAAAGCGGAATATCATTTTATTATTTCTTAGTTTCTTAAGATTTTCTTAAAGATACAAATTTTAAGTCATTTTTTTTAACTTGTGCATCGAATATGACTGCACCAGCGCAATGGTGTTTTTATAGGTATTTTCCGCATTAACTCTATAACTGAGTGCGACATTCGTGACTCTGGGATCGAAAAGGGCATCTAAACAAACACTAGAAATGCCAGCGAGGACCGCCCTTTAGCTTATTTTTAGTCGCGTGGCCAGAAGTGGCCAGAGTGGCCAGGTTGAAGTGGGCAGGTGGGCGGTGGGTGTACGGGGCACCTGTCGTCGCCAATCAACCTTGACTAGAACCGGGCGTTGCAAGGTGGGAGGGTCACTGCCACATCCATAAGAGTCAGCTCTGCACAAGGTTGCCTTTTGCTGCTGTTACACTGGGGAAAAAATTGTAATGTCACGATTTAGAATACCAATCAACCATTAGTTTTTGCCAATTATACTAAATGTTTTCTTACAGAATTGTATATTCTTTTAGTTCTCCCCTATTAAACGTTGTGACTTTTATCAAATAATTGAAATAAATAACGATCTAGTTCATTTTTAAAATCATAACCGTTAAGATTTAAGAATCTTTTGAGATTCACTGGAGATATTAGACCCACTTCCTGTTTAAAATATTAACCAATAGTTTAGTTATATTTTTTATATATATATTTTTTTTATATATTATTATTGATGAGCTGGAGATCTAAAACTTCGACTATATTTCAAAAGGTTAAGTTAAAAATGCTTTTCTTTCAGTGAGTTGTTACTCTTGGTTGGCTTTGGATGCGGTTTGCTTGGTTGGTTGGCCAGCCATTTTCCAATAAAGTGAAATTGCATGTGATGATGCCAGGATATGTTTTTTTCCAATCATTCTGATATTTTTTGCCCCTACCCGCTTTGTTTCCCATGCTGTTTTTCTTTACCCCTGCCATTTATAGAAAATTGAATAAAAGTGTTGGTGGCATTGCGACAAACTGGTCGACGAATGAGCGCGTGATTGGAGGCGATTTGTAGAAAGGTGAGCATAGCTGTAGCTCCTGGCCAGGAGCTCCTCCCCCCTCCACTGTTGCGCGAAGGACCTCCATCTCGGGTCCTGCCGGCGAAGGAAGTGATTAGTGTTGGGCTGCTCCACGGCTTCCTTGCGTGAGTCGTGATCCCGAGAGCAGGAACACAAAGCAAACAGGGCGCACCGGAGAAATCCAATTTGTTATGGGTAGCTGGCCAAGTTGCCTTTGATTTCATTGTTTCACCGGGTTACCTAAGCACACAGACACACAACCTTATAAGGACATTTGTTAACAGTTTCCACATTATATGCTGCAAAATAAAAATCACCAAAAAGTGTAATAACCAAGATGCATTCGACCAAGATTAAAGAGGGCGATGACAGGGTGAGTCGGAATTCAAACGGTAGTCATATGTGTTGGCCATTAAACGTGGTCAACTAATTTGAATGCCTTGATTAGGAGGAAATGGAGCTCAACCAAATCTGGCGAGGATGTCGTAAAATCCAGGGAGCCATTTTCCGTTATAACTTCGACATCTGTGCCGACTTAAAGCAGCACGATCCCAGCTGCAGCGGCTTCGTGTCCGGTGAGCACATTCGTCCGAGACATTTCCCTTTTTTATGACATTTTTATGACCCTAACCCACCTTTTCCAGAACCCATTTTCACGGCCGTATTGGGCAAGTATCGCAAGGTGGCCGGAATGTCAGAGTCCGAGCTCCGGGACGTCACCGACTATTTCCAAATTCGGGATGGACGGGTTGCATATCGACAGTTTTGTAAGGTTGTCTGCAGCGAAAGTGAGTTTCGTCCCGTGAAATCTTGGCTTTTATGTTAAACGTTTCCATCTTAGCACTGCACAAAACCGCTAAATCAGATCTGGCCTCGGGATTGGAGTGGAACGATCCTTGGCATGTGAATGTTATTCCCCAGCCGGAGGATCGTCGCCGACTATGTCTAATCCTAGTCAAGATTGCCCAACTATCTCACATTCCACTCATGCCCTATTTTCAGGACTATGAACTGGTGAGTTTTTTACAAGAAGCAATTTTCAAACTTGTTGTAAAACTGGTTTTGTAATTATTATTATGTTCTGATTGACGATTTAAAAATCA